CCTTAAATATATTTGAATTTAAATATATATCCACAGAAATAAAAAAAATCCCAAAAAATTATCAACAAGCTCCTTCCCTTCTTTCTCCGTCATCAAGATTTATAGCTGGGATTGCATAAAGCTCTGTCTTGCAACTACCACAAATGTTGATCCAAGCACAAATGTTAATAAGATGCTTTTATGTTTTAATACGTTTTGAAGAGACTACTGGAATTAATGTGAAAAGTTTTGAATTTTAAGTACTGCTAGGGCACAAGTGATTGAATTCTCTGATCTCTGACTAGCTGCGAATATGGATGGTCATGTCATTCAAAATTAATCAAATACAAAACACTGAAAAGTCTTTTCCAGAAATTGTCGAATCATGCTGCTTCTACTGTCAGGGGCATGCAGGTTGGTATTTTGGTTGCTGTGTGTAGTGCTTGTGTGCAGTGGTTTCAGTTTTTTAATATTACCATGTAAGAGATGCTAAAGGGTTTTTGGAACTTAGAAATGACCATGAAATATATTTCACTGTATTCAGGAAAAGGATTTTATTGACTTCGAAGAATACTGATCTTATTTCTTCTGTCACCATCTAAAAATGTATCAATCTTTCTAAGGTAATAGCTTGAGAATTCTAAATTAGAACTTGCTTCTGAACCCTTCACAATATCATTTCCTTTACTTTCCTTCAAAGAGAGAAGAGAATGTATTGACCCTAGAATCCCATGGCACTATTTGACCTTGTTTCATAATTTAGAAGTTTTCTAGATGGGGCTGGCGAGGGTTGGGGAGGGCAGTTGGGGGCCAAGTGAGTTTGGAAAACATGGCCTCGTGTGTCTACTTTAGTAAAATGTGAATGAATGTTAGTAAAGAAGCCTGTTTAACTTTGTTGAGCCCAACATTTCTCAAATTTATTTAATCTCAAAACATTGTATACAAATGTTTATAGCAGCAAATATTCATAATAGTTAAAATGTGGAAGTGACCCAAATGTCCATCTGCTGATGAATGCATAAACAACTGTCTATATATCCATTCAATAGATCCACTCAGTGGAATATTATTTGGCCATAAAAAGGAATAAACTGCAAATACACACTACAACATGGATGAATCTTGAGAACACTTTGCTAAGAGAATGAGGCCAGAAAGAAAAGACCACATATAATATGCAGGAAATGCAGAGTGACACTAGTGGGCACAAGTTTCTTTTGGAGAAGATTAAAATGCTCTTCAATCAGCTAGTGGTGATGGGTGCTCAATTCCATGAGCATATGAAAAACCATTTAATTGTGCTTTAAAGGGGTGGATTTCATCATATCTGAATTATATGCCAGTAAAGCTGTTATTTAAAAAATAACCATGAAAAGAAAAGCTGTACTAACAGCTAAAGCAGAAAGTGATGAGGGTTTAGAATAAGACAGTGATGACAGGAAGGTGCTGGAGGACGGAGGGTGTAACTGAAGAGCCCCCACGACTGATTTTTACTGTCAGGGATGCGACGTCCCAGGACTAAAACCCCTGGGACGCCCAGGCCTGAGCTTCTCTGAGAATGAAGGAATTCTGTGCAGAGTCAGTGAGAACTCTTCAACACCACTGCTGCATCTGCAGTCACCTGTGGGCACCAGGGATGACGAAAGCAGTGTGCAATATTGTGACCTTGCCTTTGTATTTTCATAACTCAACCATTTTTTCAGACTGCCAATAGAGTATGGGCAGTCGGACTGGCACAATTAGGGCAAGGCGCCCCGTGGGGGGAGATGAAAGGATGTGGTCCTGACCCAGTGTGATCCATTCAAGGCTATGCTCGCCCTTTGTGAGGACAGCCAGGGGACTGCCAGGGGCTGCAAAGTGGGCAACAGAGCACATGGGTTTTTGTATGTTGCCATCAAGAGGTAGACTTCTTAGAGTTGGGTCCTCATTTTAGTCAGGTGGGAAAACACCTACCTCAGTGCAAGGCTGCGATAACCCCTTGGGGGCTAAGGATAGTGTAGGCGGGGCTAATGCTGTTCTTCCCCTTCCTCTCCCGGGTTGTGGCTGCGAGTGAAGTGAGTGAAGCCTCGCAGTGGGGCAGCCGTGGCTGCTGACACCCCCTCCAGCAGTGGAGCTTTTTGAATCCCCCTGACCCAACTTCCCCATGCAAAGGCAAAGCCTTCCGCTGAAGGAAGCCCGTGTCCTGCTGAGACTCTTCCTGGGCATTTTGAAAATTGCTTCTACAGAGCAGTGTGGTAGCGCAGAGCTGAGTGTCCAGCAGGTTCACAGACTGCTAACTTCTCTTCACGGATTCCCGAGGTAGCTGGGGGAGGAGGAAGGAGCCTTAGTCTTGAGCCCCGTGGGCTGGCAACCCCAGCTCTGTGCAGAGGCCGGCCGTGTGGCTCGGCTGGGCGAGTCAGTGGCTGCTTTGAATACTCGTGTACCTCAGACTCTAATCTCTGCTCCTGCGGACCCGGGACTCCCTGTGCAGTGGGAGCAGCTGTCCTCTGAGGGGCGTTGGCAGGACTGGCGTGATGCTGCGCGGGGAGCAGTGGGGGTAGTCTAGTCACGACTGTTCCTAGACAAGTGGCTCAGCTTCCCCGAGGTGGTTTCCCGGCGCCCCTGAGGGCAGCTGAGGGGATAAAGTGAGATACGTGTGCAGTTGTGTTGTCTAAATACCTTACTGAGGTTTCATTAGAGAAGACATTCACAAGGCTCCTGGGAACCCGGCCCAGAGTTTTAGCCTTGATGCCTGTATCTTTATGTCAAATGAGAAAGTCCCTTCTTCATTATTGTCCTTTTCGTCTTGCTTGACCTTTCAAGAACACAGAGAAGTGTTGATTTTTTTTTATGAAAATCTTCATGCACTGAAAGATGTAATCCATTCACCCCTTAGCCTTAAATTTAAAAAAAAAAAAACAATTTGACTATTGCTGGCAACCTATTATTTGTCATTCTTTGTTACTTATTCTAAATCCTTTCAACTTCTCCATTGCTTATGGTGCCCCAAGTAGGAAATGATATTTGAGAATTTCTCAGACTAAAATATAAGGGAAAGATTGCTCTCTCCATTGGAAAAATGTCTTTACTATGAAAATAATGTCATCATGTTACAAACATTTTAGAGAAGAGAGAAAAAATGTCCACAATTCATGAGTACAGTTAATAGCAGTTTTATAACTGCTTGTTTGGTCATTTTTATATACATATTTTCTATATCTGTATCTATAGTGTATAGATCTTTATATATATATGTCTTAATCACAATCACATACAAATATAAAACTTGCTTGTTTTCCCTCTCTTGAAATGTCTTTCATATTATTGCGTGTGTTCAGAACCTACTTTGTACAACGTGAGGAATCAGCAGTGTAAGTGCTTAGGGTGGTGCCTGCCATTTAGTGTCAGGAAAAGGGAGTTAATTGTTACAACTCTTCCCATGGGCTGTACTATTTCCTTATGGATGCCAATTTTTTTTTAAAGATTTATTTATTTTTATACAAGAACTGGGGTACAGGCCAGAGGCGTGGGAGGATGAGGGGATTCACTAAAGACACAGCAGGGAGCAGAACAGGCAGACTGACTGAAACACACTGCTGAGGGGAGCAGCGGGCTAGACAGGAGAGGTCTGCTGCGCCATGTGGGATTCTCGCCAGCCGGCTGGGATCGAACCCGCACTGCGGAGGCCGCAGACAGCTTCACATTACGGCGTTCAACCCGCTGCACTACCGGGGAGGCCCAAGAAGTGGATTTTTTAAATCAGGTGCTCTTGAGGTTCTTGATATATGGTACCTGCCACATGGCTTTCTACAGGGGCCATTTCAGTTCACAGAACCTTTTGCACAACTCAAGGGTCTGACCACTCATCAGCACCTGCCCCGCATCCCCCTTTATTTTAGGTTTGGTGAAAGGAGTTTAGTAACTACCAATGTTGAACGTTTTGATGTTTACTAGCAGCATTTCCTCTTTGTTGGGTATGATCCTGTAACAGCTGGAATCACTTAACATTTTATTACTGAATTATGAAACCTCTAATAAAAAATCATAATCCTTTGTCATATGGACTGCAGATAATATTCCTGATTGCTTTCTTATTTTGGCTATGGGTTTTAAAAATTTCATACACACGGTGGTCCATGCCCTGTTTATGGTTGTCCTGATAAACTTTCCCACCATCCGGGGGCCTGATGGTCCAATAGCACCAACTTGAGGCCAACAGGGGAGGACCCCTCTCCCCTCCCCATGGCTATTTGGAACCTAGCACATTTTATGGTAAAATGTAATTTGTTTACTGCACCAGAGTTAAGTACAAGGTACACAGACTCTTCTTAGACATAGAGAACATGTTTCTCTGACAAGGAGCTAATAAATTACTGCTTGGTTTTTAGAACAGATGATAAGTTTAGCTCTTCACGATGGCAGGCTTCTAGACATCCTCCATCCTTTCCTTGAGAGCTGGTGCTTCTGAAGATGTCATTCCAGATACTTTTCTGGCAAGTATTTGATCTACTCATCAGAAACCCTCAGTCAGGTTCTCTGAAGTGCTCCCACCTACCCGACCCATTTTCTTCAGACTATTTTCTTGCAAGGAGACACTAGGTCTTGGTGAGACTGAGATGAAAAATGTGGGGCTTTTCACATAGATGAAATGCCTGCAAATGCACCCTCTCCTACACTCCCTGCAAGAGGGTGGGCAATCAGCTGGCTTGCATTTCCACCTTGGGAAGCCTGGCCTGGGGCTTCTTAGCAGAGGGAAGCCAGTCTACGTGACAGGTTAGAGACCAGCCTCAGGTGAGACTGCAAAAGGAGAGTGTCTACCCTGCCTGGATTTTAGGGTAGAAAGCACACCTTGTTCTTCCTGGAGAAAACGAGTGTGTTTCTTTTCCAGCTGATGAGTTGGAGTTGTCATGTGACTTGGACCCCTCCCTCCCTCCCCTCCCCAGAGTCCCAGGCCCAGGACCTGGGCCAGCAGGAAGCTAACAGAGGCCTTCGGTTGCACAGGCTTCAATCACGAGAAGAGCACTCGCAACTGAAGCTCCTCGGTATTTGCAAATCCCTTCAACTTGGCCTTTACTTGCCCTTAATCCTTGGCTTCCTCTTCAATGCCACATCCCCTTGCTAAGCCGTCCTGTCCCATCTAATCATGCCCATCTGCATTCGAGTCTAGAGGGGGCCCAGACAGCTGATGGCAGAGAGGAAGAAGGTCTGTCCTGGGGGTCCTCACTGCGGCCTGGGCCTTGGCACACAAACACATGACATTGGCTTCCAGGTCTAGATCTATAAATATATTTATTATAATATAACAAGAACTTAACAATAAACATATACTATGTACAATACCATTACAGAGAACCCTGTTTTCTATCATTCACAGAAATAGCCAGTTTTGCTCCAGTGTGATAGATGAGAGGAACGGAATTTGCAAGGTCATCTGTGTTGAGTCTTGCTGACCACTAACACCTCCTTTGGAGGCAGACGTTACACACCGACGCTAACATGAGCCCTGCCCCGGGCAGTTAGAAATTTGTGCTCCAGTCCTGGGGTTCACACTTGCACCCTGTTTGACATAAATACTTTAAATGACATACAATGTATGTAGTTTTGTGCTTATTACTTTTTAAAAGAATAAATAATATTAAAAACTGCATAACGAAGCTTGGTGTCCTGTCCAAGGGGGAGCCACAGCTGGAGTGCTAGAAATCGATGCCGACGTGGCGACCGGAACCTGGTGTCCTCAGAGACTGCAAGTGGAGAGTGTGTGCTGTCCTTCTCCTTCGAAATGGTTCTTCCCGTGAAATGACAGCAAGTTGACTTCCGAAATAGGAAAATGGCAAATGTGTATTTGGTACCAACTTCAACTCAACAGCGCGGTGGCGGCGTCCTACTGGCCCGGGATGGAAGCTGATCACCGTGCGGGGGGCGCGGGGCTGCGGACGGGCAGGGGCTTCTCTTTGGAGCCACGACCCCTCCTTCCTGGCTTCCTTTCTCGGGTGAAGATGCTACAAGAAGCGAGCTCCTGCTCGTGCCCTCGGGCCGTGGCGGCCATGGCTCGTCTAAGAGGCTGTCCCCATCCTGAGAGCTATGGAGGCAGGTGCCTGAATATATAGCTATAAATATCAAAAATAGTCTCCTGTGCTTTGTAGACATTTATTCTCCCGCTTCCCTCCACCCCTCCCCACCCGGCCTGGGTCCTCAGCTGTACCTCACGGAGGGAGCCGGACTGGTTTCCTTCCAGAACAGAATCTTCCTTGGCAGCACCTCCAGGAGGCACTGCTTCTATGGGGGCTGTCTGGGAGTCACTTCTTCTAAAAAATAAAACGGGGGGGCACTCGCCCCCACCCCAGGAGAGGTCCTCTATTCTGCACATAGAAAAATTAGAGCAAATGCCCCGCTCTGCCACCACCTATGAAGAGCTTTGGGGGTCCCCACGTCTCCTGTGGCCTCCTCCTCCTCTCAGTACTTAAAAATAGCCTTTTGTTTATCAAGAAAATGCCTTGGAAATCTAAATAACTCGTATTGGATAAGAGAAAGCTAGCACAGTCACGTCGCCCTTCCCCAGCAGAAACACGGCGGTGAACCCTGGCAATGGCAGCGGGCTCGTTGGCCGTCCCCAGCACCCCCAGCCTCTGGCCACATCCTGCTCCCCGGGGCTGGCCTGGTCCAGCGGCTCCCTAAGCCCCTGCCGCACAGGTTGTCCTCCTTTTCCCTCGCCCACTTGCAAGTGTAGATTGATTAAAAACAAAAGCAGGAATCAAAGTGATAAGGACACTTTGATCTTATTCCAAGAGAGCCTGACGCCTAGTATTGTCACAGGGTAGCTGAGCTGCGTGCTCAGGGGCCGAGCTTGCTCTGCAGGAAGGAAAAAACAGCTTCTCTCTCCCAGTGGAAAAATATGTGAAACTCTATTGGACCGGGCAGAGCGAGCGCCTCCACTCAGAGCAAGTGCCTCGCAGGAGGCCGGGCGCCCCTGGCTGGGAGGGCCCCGGAGCGCCGAGCCCCGGGGGCCCCTAAAGGCGAGGATGATTTTCTACATTCAATGCAGAGCGTTCGAAAGGTCAGCGCAGGGGGTTCCTGGGTGCGGCGTCGGCCTCTGTTGGTGCTGCTGGAAACCGACCGCCGTGAGGAGCGCTCGCCTCGCCTCGCCGGGCTCGTCCAAGCCCCGCCGGGCGCCTCAGCCGCTCTGGATGTACTTCTTGATCACCACGCAGCCGTGTCTGAACACGGGGCAGGGCATGTGGGGCAGCAGCGCCCACGTGTTGGTGGCCGGCTCGTAGGCCTCCATGTTGCCCAGGGCGGGCCCCTCGCTGCTCACGATGCCGCCCGTCGCGTAGATCTTGCCGTCGAGCACCACGGCGCTGCGGGCGGGAGAAGGAGCCGTCGGAGCCCCCAGGCCGCCCGCCCTCCCTGCAAACGCGGGCTCCCCGCGCCGTCGTCTGACTGGAGACACCCGTCCTCCAGGCCCCGGGGCTGGGGTGACTTTCGCGCCGGGCGTGCCAGGACCTGGGGGGCGGCTCCTCTCGAGGGCGCCCGACAGCCCCTGCCCGGTCCAGCGCTCGGCTCGCCCGCGCGTCCCACCCCCGGCTGGGCCCGGCCCCGCGCCTGCAGCGCACCGGCGCCCCTCGGAGAAAGGGGGGCCTCGAGGGGCGGGACCCCGCGGGAAACCCCGCACCTCAGCTCTGCGGTGGCGTCACCTGGAGCCTCCGGCTCGGGCTCCCGGGCCGAGGCTGCGAGGGGCCCGCCCCGGCCACGGCTGTGCACGGACCGTCCTGCCCTGGCCGGTCTCGCCCCCGCGGCTGGGGGCCGCCGTCGGGCGGGGCGTGCTGGGGGGCGACTAGGCCCCGACCCCGCAGTTCTGGCCCCCCACCCCCCCCCCGCGCCCCGCGGGCCCCTCACCTGCAGAACTGGCGGGAGTGGTTCATGTTCGGGCCCGCCTTGATGTTGCCCTTCTCGGGGTCGTAGATGGTGGTGGCCCGGGCATAAGCGCCCCCCAGGATGAAGACGAAGCCGTTGAGGGTGACGGCGGGCGCGTACTTGTTGTCTGCGCGGAGAGGGGGGTCAGGAGGCCCCGGCCGCGCCTTCTCCTTCCCGGGGGGCCCCGGGGGAGGGAGCCGGGCGCCGGCGGGGAGTCACTGCGCGGCCTGGGGACACGGTCGGGCAGGGGCGCGGGGACGACCGAGCAGCCCTTGTCCCGGCGGGGGGTCCACGCGGCGCGCCCGGGTCGCCCGGGCTCTGCACCTGGGGTCCACCCGGGCCCTGCACCCGGGTCCTTCGGGGCCCTGCACCCGGGTCCACCTGGACCCTGCACCTGGGGTCCACCCGGGCCCTGCACCCGGGTCCGCGCGGCGCCGCGGGGCTGGGGTGTTTGACTCGAGTAACACCAGCAGGGGGCGCCGCAGGGCCCGGCTGCGCGGGCCGCGCCTCACCGATCATGGGGGACTCGATGAAGCTCCAGGAGTTGGTCTGCGGCGCGTAGGACTGCAGGACGCCCGCCGCCCGGCCCGCCTCGTTCACGCCGCCGAACACGTAGATCTTGCCGCCGCACACGGTGGCCGCGGCGGAGTGCACGGCCTTGGGCAGCGGCGCCACGGCCTCCCACTGGTTGGTGATGGTGTCGTACCTGCGAGAGAGGCGCCGTCAGAGGGGCCGGTGCAGGCGGGGGCAAGGCGGCGCCCGGGGCGGTGTGGGGCCTCCCCGCTGGCGCGGGCGGCTGAGCGCCGCGCCGTGAAGCTGTCCGCAGCCTCTGCAGCGCCGGTTCGAGTCCCGCCGCCGCGGAGATACCCACACGGCGCGGCAGACCTCTCCTGGCTCCCCGCTGCTCCCCTCAGCAGTGTACTTCAGTCCTTCTGCCTGCTCTGCTCCCTGCTCTGTCTCTGGTGACTCCTCTCACCCTCCCGCGCCTCTGGCCTGCACCCCAGCTCTTGTATAAATACATAAATCTTAAAAAACAAAGGGCCTTAAAAAAAAAAGAGGTGTGAGCCTCCTTGTTTACAGGGTTGTAAACAATTAAAAATTAAGTTAAATTTAAAAAATTACAAACCAAGGGGTGGGGGCACGCCGGGAGCACCACCCTCTGCTTCCCACCCCCAGGCATCACCGCTGTGATCACACAGCGGGGCCCTGGGGCGCAGTCACTCAGGGTCGCCTAACGTCAGGCCCACCCCAGCCCTCTCCGCCTTGCTCCTGGGCCTCCCCATAAGCCGAGCTCTGTGCTGGACGTGAGGCAGGGAGAGCCAAGAAATGACGAGGAGGCGGCGGTGGGAAGAGGAGAGGCGAGCGGGCCTGCAGGTGCTGACCAGCACTTCCCGCCGAGTGGGGGCTGCAGCTGTGCCGGCGAGCGGGCAGGCGGGCAGTGGAGACTCCTCTGAGAGGAAGCTCAGGGAAGAGGGCAGAGAAGCCATGGGGGGTGGGGAGCATCAAGGGGAGAAGGGTTTTGTCAGCGGGATCCGGTCAATGCTTAGGAGCAGCTCCCCAGGGACGAGTGTCCTGCTCTGCAGCGTTTGCTGAAGCCTCTGGTGTCAATCTCACAGCCGCGCCTGGGGCATCCCTGGACACACGCTGGGACAAGGAGGGCGAGCAGCGCCTCATGGAAGGGGCTCCGCCGCGGCAGACACCGTGGCCAGCTCCAACTTCCAGGACACAGACAATGGTAAACAGCGCGACAATTCGGGAGCGGTGACTTCTGAGTGGGGGTTCCCTTCGGTTTAGTATGTCAACGGGAGTCGATGTGATTAAAGATTTCGCAATACCAGTGGTCAGCGACGGGCTCGCAGGCTTCCAGAAAATGGAACCACGGGCTCTCGGGCGCGAGTGGAGGCCGCGCACACCCGGGCTCGCTTCAGTTGCCGGGGCAGGGGTGACAGGGCCGACACGCTGCTGGGGAGGGGCCCGACCGGCCGGAAAGATGAAATATGTAAGAGAGGCCGGGGACAGAGGTGGGAAGAGAGTTGCAGAGGTGGGGTGCCGTCTCTGGGGTCAAAGCCTCTTGGAGAGATGCAAAGGGGAGAAACTCATGCTTGGGGGCAGGGAACCTGCTGACGGGGAACCCAGAAATGCACTGGTAGTGCCCAGGACCCAGTGGCGGTGGGAGGGCGTCTGTGCAAGTGGGGCCACGCCACCATCTTGTGGGATTTCCTCTACCTGGATTCAGGCCCCAGGGCCAGGCGTGCAGGAGTTGAAGGGTGGGGAGGGGCAGAGTGGAGCAGACCCGCCGGGCAGGTGGTGGGGAGAACTAGAGACAGCGAGAGGGCGGAGTAGAGAGGGAACACGAGTGTCCCACAAGCCACGGAGCGAAGTGAAAAGTGGAAACAGTTGAGGGGTCAGGAGCAGACGGACCGAGGAGCCAGGGCCCTCGGACTCTCTCCCGGGGTGCCTTTGGGTCTGGGTTCCCAGTGTCCCTGAGGGGTGTTCCTGGAGGACCGCCTCGCAGGTGCCGGCTCCCGCCCTCCCATGGGGCGGCCCACCCACGGCTCCCCACGAGGCACATGCCTTGAGTGTGTTCTGGTCTGTGGCGCGTTCTCCTTTGTGGGCTCACAGCACCCCCACAGTCGGGACTTGCAGCACACCTTTCCTGGGAAGCGCACTGGGCCCGCTTGTCCCCAAGAGCCTGGCTGGGGCGTGAGCCATCCTGGTCACTGCTCAGGGGCCCGCGAGGACGCCCTGTCTGAGCCTGAAGGGAGTGACGGGCCGACCGGAGACGTCAGCTCCGTGCTTGTGAGGGCCCAGGCTTTGAGAAGAGGCCGAAATGCCTTAAAGGGCAGCAGGGGCCGACGAATTAAGCCGCGGACGAGCATGTGGCTAATGGCAACGAACGAGGTGAGTGTCTTTCTGGACAGTGTCGGAAGTCCAGACAGCTGCCCTCCGGGCCGGTATGGCAGCGCGCCAGAGGGCGTCTGCGGAAGGGGCTGGGAGACGGTGGAAGATCATGTGCTGTTAGCCTTCGGGCTTTGGTGTAATGGCATATTGCACCGACCAACTTCCCGAGAGCTTGTTATTCCAGGTGGCTGATTGCCAAGCCACCAGCCCTCCTTAGCTCAATCTGGCAGCTTCCAGCCTGAGAAGGATATGCTAATCCCATGCAAATGACCCCGCCGAGCGGAGCTCCGCTATCATTTACCTGGTAACCACAGCTACTGCCATCTATTGCTATAAAATATTAGGCCTGGTTATTTATATGATGATATAATACAGGTTTGTCTATGGCACTGTTGTTTTAATCTATAATTATATAATCTTGCTCTATTCCTGTAATACAGTAATGTAATATAATTATAATGTACCGTCTATCTCATTCATTATCAATATAATAGCAATTTGTAGCATGAGTGCTTCCTGGGGAACAAAGCACCCTGGTGTCTGCCCCCATTCCCCTGACCTTCCTGTCACCCTGAATTCTTGTCATCGTCACCACAGGACACAGAAATGGGCTTGCCCACAGGGGCTCCGGGGATGCTCCGGGGGAAGCGGTGGGCATCCCTCGTGCCGGCACCCTCTGCCCAGCACCCTCTGCCCAGCTTGCATGAACACCACCCAGGGAGTCTCTGTCTTGTCCCTACACGGATGACTGACAGGTCCCAGTGGGCTGAGGAAGGGCTCAGGGCCCTTCTGGGCACCCCGGGGTCCTGGTCTGCTCCTCTGTCTCCCAGGCGGCCCAGGCTGGTCGTGCTCACCATGTACTGACGTTTCACTGCTGGAAGGAAAGCCATATAGGTTGGTCCAGGCCTCGAACTGCTCTAGGGTCCAAGGGGGGCTGAGCTTGTCCCCCCCCTTGAAGAATTTGATCCTCGAACAAACCCCCTTATTTATCAACAAGTATACGGTTGCAAAATGAGTGATCAGCGTCTTAGGAGATTAAAAATAGCTGACAAAAGCAAGACAGGATGACAGATCTAGCTCAGTTTACTCCTACGTAGAAAATGTCTCCTTGTTCATGTGTTTATTACCGAATGACAAACGGCTGGGAGCTGGGGCTCCGGATGACTTGGGGCGTGATGGCCAAGAGGAGGCGCCCACCAAAGGCTGTCAGCTTCGGGGCTGACCCGGTCAGCAGCTGCGTTAATATCCTCATCATCACACGGGATTCCCCATTATCTCCAAATCAATATGACAATTAAATGCTGTTACTGAGCATCTCCGGGCTCCGCTTGGGGGAGTTGAAGGCCCACAGCGAACACCCAGAGCCTGTCTCCTGCACCGTCTCTGCTGCAACATTTGTCAAGTGTCCAATTAGCCACCAAGGGAAAAATACAAATTGAGGGGTCTGTGTGGCTCCACAGGCAAAAGCTGTCACACGGGAAGACGAGCTTGCCGTGTAGCTGACGACGGGGGCTGGGGGCGGGCGCGGGCCGGGGAGGGCCCAGCCATCTTAGCGTGACCCTCTGGCTTGGTGCATGGCCTCACGTGTCCCACTTTGGGCCACTGGTTTCTCCAAAGAGCAGGGCTGCCTGCTCTTTGGAGCCTCTCGTCAGCTGCTGACTCGCAGGGCTTCCTGCGCTCTCTCTGCGGCTTCCCCGAGGGGTCAGTCCTCTGCACGGCTCTCTCCGCGGGGCTCGAGGAAAGGATGGACTATTTCCCCGGGGAAGCGCCCACCTCCAGCCCAAGCGCCTCCTGCCTACCACCCGACCCTACATTATAAGCTTGGCCAGATTTAAATGACCTCCACGCGGAGGCCAGCCTGGGGCTTCCAGCAGAGGGCAGGCTGACACTCAGTGCTCGGCCTGCAGTGTCTTCTGGAGCATTCCAGCAGTTGCCGTGACCCTCCCTGCGTGGCCAGCAGATTTCCTGGGATGCGTGGGGTGGAGGCTGGAAGTGCTCCCTGGTGCGTGTTCTCTCTTGGGAGGGACATGGAGGCCACGGGTTCCAGCTTTGCCCTACATCCCTGCAGCCCCAGAGATTCCCCAAGTGCCCGAGGGCCAGTCAAGCCAGCCTGTGTCCTTCCGTGGTCGGATGTCGTGCTTCCAGCTCGTGACACCCAAAAGGGATGTTGGGGCTCCCCTCAGTGCTTGGGCAGCCCGCCTCCTTCCTGCCCTGCCTCACGGTCCCCCGCCCTCTCCCTCTGTTGTGTTGAAGAGCCGCGGCCCAACGCCATGTAAGGGCCCAGTCCCCTAGTGGCCTCCGCTGCGGGGAGGGACTGCCGAGGGTGGCCGCATTACCTTTCCACGTGGTCCACGTTGCCCGCCACGCCAAGTCCCCCGAGTGTGTAGATCTTCCCGTCGTAGACGAGGCTGTTGTGCCGACAGCGGGGGACCGTCATTCTGGAGACCAGATTCCAGTTGTCGAGCAGGGACATGTAGCACCAGACGTCCGCCAGCGTCACCCCTGATTCCATCCCACCTGGAGGCAGCAGGGGCGGTCCAGAGAGCAGGAGGGAGTGAGGAGGGGCAGGAGCAGCCACCCACTCCCGGGTCAGGACGAGGCTCACCAGCCAAGAGACACTGCGGGGTCCCGAAGTGTGTGGAGAGGGGCCCCGGGGGAGCCCGCACCCGCCCCTAACCCAGCGTCCAGGGGCCTCACCTGAGAGGTAGATGTTGTCCCCGGCACTCACTACACTGAAGAACTCGCGGTCATAGAAAGGCAGCGAGGCCAGGGGGTACCACTTGTTGTTCTGCGGGTTCCAGCAGGTGACGGCCACCAGCGAGCGCTGGGTCATCCCCACCATCTGACGGCCCCCGACCAGCACGATGACCTCGGCCACACCTGCGGGACACGCACGGGCACCATGGGACACGCCAGGATGCTGTCGCCATCTGGGAGGCCGCCCAGAGACCCCCAGGCTGACCCCACAGCACCTGCACTTGGGGGGTCGAGGCGTGACCCTCACTACCTGCTGAGAGGCGGGGCCGGGTGCGGGGCGTCTGCATCTCCTGGCGGGCGTGGGGCAGCATGTGGTAGCGCTTGGCCTCGTTGACCAGGTCCCGACACGCTTCCGACGACTTGATTAGCTCCTCGTTGTCCACCACGTTGAGCAGGTAGCTGGGGTGGATGAAGGGGAGGCGGACCACGGCCAGGAGCTCCGCCGCGTGCTGTGGGGCAAAGAGATGCAGCTCTCAGGTCACAGGTGCCGCCCACTTCCCCTGAGCAGCACTGAGAGAGAAAGGAGATCTGGAGCTGCACGAAGTGGATAATTCCAGTCTGTATTTGGGCTGGAGTGTAGATGTTGCTCCCCCAGGCCTAGAGAGAGATCCAGGGACACCCCTCAGCGAGAGGCCAGGAGGGAAGGCGGGGGTCTGGCCTGCTGCCGCTCACCCTGGGGTGACTGTCCATTCGCCTCCTCAGCTCCTCATTCAGGCTCCCCCCAGGGGATGGGCCTCATGCCAGGTGCCTGGGGAGGAAGCCGGGCGCCCCCTGCGGAGGTGTGTGGGGCCCTAGGAAGTCAGGACCCTCAGGAGGACCCAGGAAAGCTGATGTGATCATCCAACCTGGGGGTCACCATGCCAGAGCCTGAGTCTCCCCGACACCGACAAGCCCCCCAGCAGTGCCTCACTGCCTCACCTGGCACTTGGGCCCCTCACCTGCATGAGGGCCGTTCTTAGACTGACTCGGGCGCCCCTCCTAGGGAGGTGCCTGCCTTCCCTCTTCCCTGGACCCTGGCTCCGCTTGCCCCTCAGAGGGACGAGCCAACCCTCCTGTCAGGTGTGTGATGGCTCCCATCTCCAGCATGGTTTCCGATTGGCCCAGGTGCTGTCCACCTCAATAACAGGGGCTTGGGCGGGGTCCCCTGCTGGGTCCCTGCTCATGGGAGCCCCAGAGCACGGGCTCAGGCCTGCACTTCTTCCTGTAGGGTCCAGACACTGCCCACCCAGGGCCAGCAACCTCGGGGTCCACACTGGTCTCCCCCAGGTGGCACACCTGCCCTGAAACCTCTGGTGACCGTTCCTCATCTCTCGTGCCTCCCAGGGGGCACGTGCCGGCGTCCCTCTGCCCAGGCCTATGGGTTCCCTGACCTGCCCTCTGCTGGCCAGACCAGGCCGCCCTTCGGCCCATCCCCTTCCGCCTTCTTCCTCCTACCCCAGGCCCCATCCTCTCACTGTCCCCACACAGGGACTGCAGCAGGGAGCGGGGCAGACGCACCTGCGCACGGGTCGCGGGGTCCTTCTTGATCCACTTGATGACGGTCTCATACACCAGCTCCTCGGCCTTGGTGTTGAGGCTGTCGTTGGAGATGTAGGTGATGAAGTCGTCCTTGGAGATGCTGAGGATCTCCTCCTGGGCCGCCACCTCGGGGAAGAGCTGCAGCGCAAAGGCCTTGGCCATGTGGTAGAGCTCGCTGCACTGCATGGCCTCGGCCATGGCCAGCACCCCCAGGCAGTTGCTGGCCGTCAGCTGCTTCTCTGGGGATGAGAGCACAGGGCCACTGACGGCAGGGCGGGGCTGGCGGGGCTGCCACCCATCCCCTCCCTGTCGCTCCGGGTCCCTCTCCAGCCTGTTTCTTGTGCTGCCTCCAGGCCCCGCCGTGTACATCCTCTGTCCCATCTTTCCTTTCATCTGTCCCGTCCCCGGCAGACTCCCCCAGGGCCTCCCTCTGCTCCCGCAGGCCCACGCCCGGGCTGTGAAGTAGGGCGGGTCAGCGCCAGGCTCGGGCCTTCTGCACTGTCCGCCGGGGGAGGAGGCTCGGGCCTCGGGCCTGGCCTGGGCTGCGACAGGGGTCACAGTGAGGCTGAGGGGCCTTCCAGAATGGTGACAGCACATCTGGGCTCATAGACTCTGACTTTGTAGGAATGCCGGTAAGGCCGCCAGCTCCCCTGGGGGTCAGCCTTACCCGTCCTGGCTGCTAGCCCTGGGCTCCCTGGGCCAGCTCTCCCGACACCTGATGCTCATTAGTCTGGTCCCAGGAAGCCCGTCACCTTCGTGAGCCTGACCCTGCAGCCGTGGCTCCTGACGCTTCTCAATTGCTGGGTTCTCTTGGGTGCCATCCCAGGCCGCTGGCCGCCCGCCACCCGCCTCGCCATCTCCAGGCTCAGCCCAGTTCTCTTTCATTCCACACGCAGCCCACGGGCTCCTGCGACCCTATCTTTGCCTCTCACTCCCCTTGCTCACCCAAGCTGGGCAAGTCCGAACTGTGAAGTGTGTCCTCTGGGTTGGGGTCTGCTGCAAGCCCGGACACTCACACCCCCACCCTGGGCAGCAGGTCTGCGTGTCCAGGAGCAGATCACACGTCTAGGCCTACGCAATGCGTGTGGCCCAGGCATCATATACATTAAAAGGAAAAGAGGCCTCTGGCGCCTTTGTCCACTGTGTAGAGGTCTCCGGCTCCATGTCCAGTGGGCATGAGGCCAGGGCACGGGGTCACCATGACCAGGCCAATCACGTGGCCCCATTTGTGCTTACAAAGCTGCCGGGCCAGGGCCAGGGTCATGGTACAGCCTCCCCAACCCTCAGTGGCCTAGAGGACCCCTATGTCTGGCGAGCACAAAGGCCTTTGCATAGTCATCCAACTATCACCCTAACAGTGCGTTTGGAACCCAGCTTCCCACCCCCGGTGGTCAGGGTGGGCACACCCAGCGTACACCCCTGAGCCCTGGCTGCTTTCAGGTTTCTCTCCCCAGAACACACGTGTTCACCGGACTCACCCAAAAAGGACACACAGACTTTGCAGAAGGTGTGGAACTGGAACTTGCTGGCCGCCTCCAGCAGGGTCTTGGCGTTGGCCGAGTCGATGACCAGAGAGCCGGTGTAGACAAACTCCAGCAGCAGCTCGAGGACGTCGGCCTGCAGGTTGGACAGGACGAGCTCCAGCTTCTCCCGGCCGCCCTGGCTGCCGTCTTGCACGGACCTAGGCACAGAGACCAGGGTGTCCTTACCCGCCGCTCCCGCGGCCACGGTGCCGCCTCCTCACAGGGCTAGTCTCCCTGCACGCCTCGGCCACGCCCTTCGCTTTTGGACTCAAGGGACACGGCAGTGACACACCTGAGCCTAATGACCTTACACGGGAGCTGAAAGAGAAGTCTGACCAGAGACGCCCCAGAGAACAGAGAACCCTGCTTATCACTACTCGGCATGTCCATGCAAAAAAAGATGCAAATCAAAAAGCATGAGCTGTGCATGGGGACGAGGACCAGGACTGGCCTCAAAGGGAAACAATACGCTTCGGCCCTGCCGCTCCACGGCTCTGCCGAGTGAGGCCAGCAGGTCCCGGGCCGCGGTCCTCTGCCTCCCCGGGACATGGTCCAGCCTGACCGAGGCTCCCAACTGGCTGTGATCACAGCCCCTCTGGAGACTTCCCTGGGTCACCCCGAAGACTGAGGGCCCCAGGCTTCCCGGAACCCCGACTCCAACCCCACCTCTTTCCAAAAACATATTGTTTCCTTTTAGGCATGGGAAGGAAGCCCTTCATGACATTGCTTGAAACTGAGGACGAGACGAGATAGACGGACAGAATGGTCAGAGCCGGGAGGGGGGGGGACAACCAAGGACTCCCGCCACAGACAGCCAGCAGCCATGACCTGGACGAGGCCCGGGGCGGGGCCTCCTGCCACATGGAACACGGGGTCAGAGGCCAGAGCGGCCTGCGTGTAGAGTGTGCGTCGGGATTGTGAACTGGGGGGAGCAGGGGAGGGACACAAATATATAAGTATGTTTATATCTGGTGTCTACAGAAATACAAAACCATTGCAAAGGCCCCTAAGGCCTGGCAGCCGCGCCCTAAAGCTGGACCTGGAAGGAAACAGATCAGGTGAAGCAAAAGTAACACCGATACAGAAGTGACCAGGAGGAAAAACACCCAGAGCGTTAAGAGTCAGGAGGCAGGCTTCTCAGAGGCGGCTGGCTCGGCACCCATCGCGGCCGCTCTGACCAGCCCTGCTCCCTGCACTGAGCCTGGGCCTGCCCGGGGCTGGGTGCAGCCGCGTGCCTGGGAAGTGACCTCGGCGCCCCCCAGCCCTGCTCCTGAGGAGGGAGGCTGGGGACTGAGACTCTGACTGTGCCTGTGTCTGGCTGTGGTGGGGGGGTGTCTGGCAATGGGCAGGCCCCAGAGAGGGGTGACTCTTGGGTGGGCGAGGAGCTAGGGGACCTGGGTGCGCTGACTGCCACAACAGGCGGGTTGCCTCGGCCTCTCAGGCCCTCCACCTCCTCTTCTGCAAAACAAGAGAACTGGGTGAGGTCTAAAGTCCACGGAAATACCCTCCTGCTTGGCTCATCTACCCCTGACAGTACCAGCAATGCCATATTCTCTCAGATCAGGATGCCCCCCTGGGACCTGGAAGCACAGGTATGACCTGGCAGAATAGGTATGTTCTGCTCTCTCCGCAGAAGAGCCCAGAAAATTGAGGTGAGGGAAAGGAACTGGCTAAGCAGGGCCCCTCTCACCCCACAAACCACAGACATACATGGTGTGTGACTTGTAAAGTGACTAACACACCTAGTCCTCTGCTGTTGGGATGGATTTTCCATGCTTGGGCATATTTGTTAAGTATAAAAATAGTTCATCGTGTGAGCACTTGAAATCACAGAAATTCTGAACAGACCTCAGGGCCACCTGGTCAACCTCTAATTCTAAGTGTTTGCTGCCTCTGCTGCCTCCCCTGTGACTCCACCTTTCTGCTCACACTCCTCATGTCCGCCCAGGGCAGGGCTGGTGGAGTAAAGGAGCACCGCTCACCCCTCCCAGGCCCCGGCCACTGGCCAGCCCTCCTGTCCACCCATGAGCCCCGGGCTGAGGACTCAATCTCAATGAAGAGCTGAGGTGGGACTTCAGGACTTGTGTGCATGCATCCACACACACACGTGTGCACACACACACTGAAATGCATGGGACTTGTAAGCCAGTGAGCACGGGTGTGGGCAGATGGAAGGCCAGTGAGCCGCAGCCCGGCAGGGCCAGCGTGGCTGCATCTGTGGCGAATGCTCGTGGTGCCGTGTCTGAGCCAGGAAGAGGTGCTGGGATGGCCGAGGGGCTTGGGATCATGGGGATGCACCGAGGCGGTCCTAGGATGCACGGCTCTGGCTCCGCTTCCCCAGGCCCCCGTGGGGGCACTTGTGGAGAAGAGGGCGGCCAGGGGCAAAGGGTCTGCAGAGAGTGGCTGGAGGGCCCTGGGGTCAGATCCGAATGCTGTGAGCAGAAAGAACATTCTCTTTGGCCACTGCTGAACAACTGGAAACCCCAGGGAAGCTTTGTCAGGTGGCCATGTTCAAGACCTGGAGGAAGAGAGGCTCCAGGCAGTGAGGCCTGGCTTGGCCCACCTGCACCCTCGCACTGATTGTCCACACAGGTGTTGGTGTGTGGCCTGGCCAGCTATGGGGCCGAGGGAGGCCAGTGGAAACTCTCCACCAAGACCATCAGATTGTCTTGGGAGGGACCTCAATGCCCCTTGGGTCTCTTCTCTTTGAGCAAGAAACCCTTGAGAGGCTCCCCAGGTCACCCTTGGGGAGCTATGGTGAACCTTCTGTCCTTTCCTAACTGCCTCTTGGGGGCTGCCTCCGGTTCTACTCAGCCCCTGAGTATCTGGGGAGCTGCCTGGTTGGTTGCTGGCTGCAAGGTGGTCACGACAGCACCTGTGGGCAGGGGTGGAGCATGGCAGGACTGGGCAGCGACACCTTGTCAAGTAGGGCCATGAACCTGACACTTGGGGTGGGAACCCGGGAGCACCAACCTGCCCACATAGGCCCAAGGGTCTAGAGACTAGAAATCTCCAGAGTCACCTTCTCCTAAAAGGGGTGTGGCTGGGAAGAGCCCCAGGTGTGGGCCACAGCCTCCACCTGGCAGGCTGGGTTTGTGGATGTGCCAAGAATGCTCAGTGCCCCAAATTAGAACGTTGGAGATTCCCCATCAGTAATTCCCTCCCCTGGCATAAGAACTGCCTTCTCCAGACTTCAGGCTGGAGTCTCTTCTCTCTCTGCCCACCTCTGTGACCTCTTGTTCTCATTCTGTGAGTTGTGGACCCGTGGGTGCGGACACTCAGGGAGAAGGCGATGCGTGCGGCTGGTGCCCCATTCTGCCTGAGTGGGTGACCTGCTCTTCTGGGGGGCAGAGGCGCTCAGGCTTGCTGTGGTTCCAGGACAAGCACGAGTCTCCCTGGGCCTGGGGACTTCACAGGTGCTGGCGGACCTGGTCCACCCATGGCAACCCGGCCCTGGGTCTGGCGTGTGCCATTTTGCCAGCATCCGAACATGTCAACCTGTCCCTTTGTTAGTTGGTCTTATAGCAGCACCTGTCGATGCCCCCAGGACGGGGGCAGCTACCAGCACAAAGGCCAACTTCACAGGGAGGAGGGGCCCGTGGCCTGACTATTTATAAAGTCCATCAGGGTGCGCCATGTCCAGGATCTGGCCCCCGTCAGGCAGGCCCTTCTGACTTCTCCTGGACCGGGACATGACAAGTGAGAAGCCCAGAACCTGCCCTGGGGACTGTGACAATCAACCTGGACACAAACCAGCTGGTCCATTCATTTCCTTCAATACGAAAAGAATATGTCAAATATGTCCTTGGCCCCAACAGGCTTGGTGAGATGAGGGTTTCAACCGGAAGTAGAAGGTCAGGTTTCTGTCCCATGTGGTGCCAGGAGAGGGCCGCTCTCCTCGGGTTGGCGTGAGACCGGTATGGGGAGGGCTGGGAGGGCGGAAGCCTTCCTGGTGGGGCCTCCACCTTGCCCTGCCAGTGAGTGCAGGCCACGCCCCCTGCGGCACCGGCCACCCCAGAGCATCTGGCCCCCAGGGGAGGAGGGAGAGGGGCTTCTGCATGGACCCAAAATGAAGGGGGCGGCAGATGTAGGTCCTGGGCTCGGGGTTGAGAAGAGATTCTTAACTTGGGAGGCTGCAGCCCTGGGGCCCCTCTGGGGATGCTAAACATCCTTCTGCTTCTGTCCCAAAGCCTGGGGCTCCATCCACTGCCCTCCCCTCTACTCGGGCTTGCAGGGTCTCCCCATCCGCTCTGGAGGGCGTGCAGGGAGCTGCGGTTGTGCCTCTAGCCACCAGCCAGGCGCAAAGCTTTAGCTCCCCTTCCTGCAGGGCTTCCACTGACTGCCACAGGGGCTGACCGGGCTCCAGCGGGGTGATGCGCCCCGGGGTGTCCTCTGCACAGGCTCTGCCCTGAGCCTCCTGACGCCGTGCCTCTCCTCCAAGGCCTCTCTTTCTCCAAGGATGGGGGCTTAGGTGGCTGTGTGGGCTGGGAGCCTGTCGGCCTGTGTCCCTGTGTGTTTAGTAGATACTCACGCGCATACACACGCACACATGTGTGCACACATGCGCACACACACGCGTTCGGAATCCCTTTTCCTTGCACGCCTGTCCACACCGTCAGCCTGAGATCTGACTTTCCTTCTTCGCTTTGTGCACACGTGAAAAGGGCCTTTTTGCTGCAGTCTAGCATGAGCTTTGGGGCCGGGCCTCCGTTCGAGCCCCAGATCCATGGGTCGCTTAGACCTCACTGCCCGACATGCCCACCTGAGCCTCAGTTTCCTACTCTGTGAAACTGATGGTATATGCTTCTGGGGTTATTAGAGGGTTTCCAGGATGACCGCAGACACTTCTACTCGTGCCCAGTGGGCTGGGTCTTGTCCTCAGCAGAGGAAGAAAATGAGTCTGAAGTGAAATAACGGGCATCTGAGGGGCCCGTGCTCGGGCAGGAGGGGCAGCTGAGCGGAGGGGAACAGACCGTGTGAGACCTTCCCTCACGTCTGTCACCTCAGGGAACACACAGCACGACACCCCCAGGCTTCGCCCTCTCCTCGGCTCCCCTGCCAGCCTCATCCCCCACTTCAGCCTCCAACTTGACATCATAGCACCCCAGGGGAGCGCCTCCTGGTGCCTGGAACCCCGGCTGCCCAGGCCGGCGCTGCTCTCTCCGCCTGCTGAGCCCGTCCCCCCTCGTCGGTCTGGCTGCTTCGCGTTCTTGGTTGGAAACACGCCGGACGCCAGCTCTTCCTGGGCGCCTGCAGCCAGCCGATGGGGCGAGGCGCCCTCTGCACCCCCACTGCTACAGTGGCCTGCTCTGCCGTCCACACTGCCTAGCCTGCTCCCCCACCAGACTGTGGGTGCTCTGAGGACCCAGACCTGTCTCGTCAGCATTTCACGGGAGGCCTGGCTCTGGAGGGGCTCCTGCTTGTCTGGGGTGACGGTGTGTGAATGGCTGGTGTCCCTCTGTCTGTCCTGAGGCTCCAGGTGAGGGTGCTGTGCTGGGGTGGGCCTGGATGCGGGGACAGTGACCTCACGGGTTGAGTCGTGGACACTTCACCCACCGCAGGCTGGAGGCGGGAAGAAGCTCTGGGGCAGAAGGGTCGGCCAGGTGCCCTGACAGTGCCCTCAGGGGCCACGAAGGACGAGCACACGGTCCCGTGGCCACCTGCTCCCTCTGCTGCGGCCGCTGGGGGTGCAGCTCTGCCCTGGGACCAGGGGCAGGGCCATGTCTGTCCCGCGGGGCCGCTTGGGCTGCTTGGACGGCTGCACATAAATCCTCCAGGGCCCCAGACCCCAGGGGACGAAAATGACATGGTGACAACATTGGCTGCTCCCTGGCCAGGAGCATGTGGATTTGCGAGGATTTTCTATGGCCAGAAAGGAAACCATCTTTCTGCAGAGACCCTGCTTTCCTCTCTGCAGAAAGAATTTGCAGCCACTGGCAGAAATGGTGACGTGTGCCCACGGATAGGACGAGGGAAGTAAAATTTACAAGGACTGTGGATTAAGTTGATCTTCAACTGCAGGAGCCCTCGGCTCTGTCTCTGACGGGCCTTCCTCTGACTGAGGACCAGCCGGTCTCCCTCGTCTCAGACCTCTCTGGGTTCGGGTCCATCCAGCAGGCTCCCACCAGGGTGTCCTTCAGGCTGCTAAACCTCAACGCGTCACTGCTAACGCCATCGCCTGCCCTGAGCTCCCGCCCACCTGGTCTGTGGACCCGCCTTCCCGTGACCTCACCCTCCTCGGGTGCTGGAGGGTCAAGCCTGCTCAGGGCTGTCCCTGCCTGTCCCTGGCCGTCTCCCAGGCATGTCAGAACTAGAAGGACACCTGGACATCATTTGAGCCAATCTCTTGTTTTACAGATGAGAAAACTCGAGACCTAAGAGAGGACAGGACCTGTCTGGGGTCACAGGGCACGTGGCGAGTTAGAAGGAGAACCCAGATCTCCTAGCTTCCCGGGGAGTGTCCTTTCTCTCCCCCAGTGACGGTTTTAGTCCCAGCACCCATTCTTTTTATTAGGGCCACTGAGATACATCCTACAGTTCTGCTACCTTCAGTGGACATCCCCTCCTCACTGAACCCAGTGACCCCCAGACCCTCAGACCAAGCCCAGGGGTCAGGGCCTGCCTACCCTTCCCACCCCAGCTCACATCCATCTCTGGGAACACTATCTCCCCATTCCCACTGCTCATGTCTCTGTCCCTAACCTTGCATTCCAGTCAACTCACCCCTTGCTGGAACATTCTAGAACGTTCCCTATATTTCAGAATAGTCCAGGCAAAGGATGAGTTCTTCCTCCTCTTTTTGGCCTGTCCAAGAAGCCTTCACTACTTTGGGTTCTCAGCTAGTGGCGTCCTCTGTGGTGTGCAAGAGTTTGGCTTTACATGTGAGGTCTCTGAAGATGGTCAAAAGGCTCTGTGGTCCTCTTGCCCATCTCTTTCTAGCCCAGGACCGGGCCACCACTCAAGAGCGACCTCATCCTGTGTTCTGCCCGCTCTGTGCTCTCTAGCTGGTCTGGAGCAGAGACCAAGGCCCTTGGATGCCACAGCTGCAATCCAGCGGCCGGGTGCTGGGCACTGCTAGTTCCAGAATTTGCAAAAAGTGGCAGCACAAAGACCTCCCTTGGCCGGAAGAAGCCACTGGATGTGCCCCTTCACCCCAGAGCTCATGCCCCAACCCCTGTGCTCGGACAGGAGAACCCAAGCACCGGGGATGGGAGACGCGAGCTGTCCATGAAACTGGAAGTCACAAAGAGCCTGCCCCTTCCCCTTCCTGCATGGCGGGGCCAGCACGCCTGGGAGGGGCTCGCACGCCAGGCAGCTCAGCTCTAAGTGAAAGGACACAACAGATTGGAAAGGAGATGCCAGCCAGTGTGCCATCCTGAAACAAAACACAGTCACTCTGGGGTTAGTTGGCAAGTCCAAACACAGCATTGGGAAGCAAGCAGAGGTCCTGTCCTCCCACTCTGAGCCAGTCGCGGCTCAGGTCCGCCCCGGAGAGGCTGCAAGGCAAAATGAGCAGCGGCATTAATCTGCTGGTGGGGGGAGAGACAGGAGCGTTCCCTGGGCCGGCCCCTCAGCCGCTCTCCCTCTCTAAGGAGCTAGAAGGCGACCCTGACTTCTTTGCAAGGGTATGAAGCAGACAAATTAAAAAATCAACATAATGGAAAAAAAAAAAGATGCTCATGCACCATTAAGACTCATTTCAGTAGAAGGAGCTGGGGCGGAGGGCGGAGGGCGGAGGGCGGAGGGCGGAGGGCAGGGAGCAGAAAGGCTGAGAGCGACCGCGTCAGGACACGCCTGGTCTGTGCTCGGGGACGCGCCGGTGTGGGCCCAGGGTGTGGGCCCCGGGTGTGGGCCCCGGGGGCAGGACTCCAGACATGCAGCGAGGGCGAGGCGCGGGCCGCAGTCCCTTCTCCCAGACTCGGGCTGGGGAAACCTGGCCCCCTGGTCGCCGCCTGCTCTCGGGGTGGGGGGTGCCTGCTCGAGGTGCTTTCCTGGCATTAAGTTCACCGTCGACAGCAGCGCTGAGGGTGGCAGGGCCGGGGCTGGCCGGGGTGGGGGCCGTGGGCGCTGGCCCTTCAGAGTCGAGTCTACAGTCCTCTGAATCTCGGGGAGGCCCTGGGAGCCCCTGAGGACGCGGGCGCCTCAGGGCCAGGCAGGGGTGGCGCCTAGCGCTGGGGGGGGGGCCCTGGGGACCAGCATGGCTGTGTGGGGCGGGCCGGGGCAGTGGCTGCTCTGAGGCGGTGTGTGCCAGGGTGTGTGCCAGGGCGCTCGGGAGCAGGAGGGGGAGGAGAGATGGCTACTGGCTCTGTGACAGGGAGTCACGCTTCAGGAACCTGCAAGAGAGGGGCGGAGAAAAGCGACACAAAAGCGTCCTACAAAGGAACAGACCCGACCACAGCTGGAAGGAAGGCAAACCTTTGAATCAGGTCCTTGAAATACAAGCTGCAGGAAGCTAGAACATTTTGGTGGACTTCAAACTCTCTGCCTTCAACAACAATTTTCAGGTCTGTAAACGCTTTCGCTCTGCGCTGCTGGTTCAATTCCTTCAACATTTCTGCAGAACAGAGAAGACAGACAGGGCCACGTTCCCATTAAGAGTTTTTTTTTCATTAAAAAAATTTATTTTTCAAGAAGTAGAGAAATAGGAAAATACTTGATACTGTTTCTTGGCTCAACATCCACAGTTAAAGAAAGTCACAACAGTGCGTCACAAGCAGCCACGGGGGGTGGGGGGCACAGAACCAAGGGGATAACGACTTTTTGAAAGCAAAAAGAAAACGAAAACAAAAACAGAAAAAAAACCAAATACGATCATAAAAAAATCAAACCCAGAAATTGAAAGTGGGGGAGGGGGCCGCGTCCCATACTGACGGCCGGAAACATGAAGAATACGTTACCACGGACAACCGAAAACCTGCTAACTAGCTAGGGAGCAAGCTCTCCGGATGCCAAAGGTGCCGATGCATTGGGTGCCAAGGAAGCGTGGCATTGTGATGTAAGATGGGCTGGGTATGGTTCAAAGGAATAAAAACCACAAAACCTGCAAAACCAGCGTCCCTGCGTTAGACACTACAGCCATGGCCGGGCCAGCTTCTGGGGGTGGGGCCCGAGAAAGGAGGGGTGGAGGGGGTCCTGGCGAGCACCTCCTTTATTTCGCCCTTCCGGGATGCTGGGGGGAAGCAAGCAAGGAGCAGGGATTTCTGCACCTCCACCCCTTTCGGGGTCATTCTTGCAGGACCCTCCCCCTTGCCCGGGTCTTCAGCAAGGGTCTGCCTCGCAGCCCCAGCATGTCCCAGGAAGTGGCCCCTGGGGCCTTCCCGCTCTGATGCGCACCTACCTTTGCCTGGTGTCTGGACCTCCTGGGGCTGGCACAGAGAGTGCCCCAGGCTCGTGGGCTCCAAACCTGGGGGTATCAGAAGTTTCTCCCCAACCCACCTCAAGGCTCCGAAGGGGCAGTGGGTGAGCCTGCCAGCTGCCCTGCTTGGCTGATGTGTATTCCTTCACTTGCAGAAAGTCCGGGCCTTGAGGTGGCCGGCCCGCACTGCCCACCCTGCCTCCGCCTCACCTGCCTGCCCCCGTGACCCCTGGATGGAGCCTACACATAGCCTTGCTGGGAGCTGGACAAGGAGCCCAGATTCTCAGGCCAGCTTGACCCAGCCTGCTGTCCAGGGAGGAAGGGGGGCCCGCAGGACTGAGCCCAGTCTTCCAAGTCCCTTTTCATCACCCCAGCCCCCCGGCTCTTCCGAAGCTTGGCTGGTGTTCTAGAATTACCCTCCTGGGTGCCCTGCTCCAGCCTGACCAGTCATCTCTGTCACGTGAGCCAGCACCAGCCACCTGCCAAGATGCCCTCCTGAGTCCAGCTCTGCCTCTGACACCTACAAGGCCGAGGACAAGCCTCTGTTTCTACGTCTATAAGACGGGGGTGGAGGCTCTGGTCATATTTCCGGGGCTGGTCAAGATTAAGTGCTCTGGTTCATGGATGGGCAAATGTGTGGGTTTGGAGGTCAGGCAGGGCTTTCCTCGGAGGATACACAGGGCCTGGGCTCTGCTGAAGACCAAGGGAGATGGTAAGAAGGGGGATCCGGGAGAACACCCCACATTTAGGGCTGCCCATCCCTCTGTGGGCTGTGGGCAATGCTGAATCACTGACCCCACTAAGCCCGTGACTGGCTCAGCTGGAGTGGTAGCAAGGCACAGAGGGCGTGTGTCAGGTGCGGGTGCTCCTGGCCCTCCAGGAAGGCCCCCAGGGGTGTGCTCTCACCTGCAGCAAGGGAGACCAGCCGCGGGGCGGGCACGCGTGGGGTGGATGCAGGAGACCAAAGGGCTGGGGGAGGCACAGGGGTGGGATGGGAGGGCAGGCGGGGCTCGTCTCTAGAACCTGAGGGGACGGTGGTGGGATGGGGAAGGGGCCTGAGTGTGGTTTGAAGTGGGCCTGTGGGACCCCCAGGGGAGATGCGGGATGGGGGCCTGTGCCGGAGGCTGGGCAGTGGGAGACTATGCCTTGGGCATGAAGAGACACAGAGAGCCCGCGAGGGGTGGGTCAGAGGTAAACTCTGCTCAGACACATGGGCTCCAGAAAGATCCACCAGCTCTTTTTGGGAATGAGTTCATGCCCATCTCTGAGCCGCTGGGTGACGTCATCTTCATGAGTGAAGCAGGTGTGGGTGGCGGGAGCTCTGGGCTGGCATTCTGCAGACCCGGCTGCCGGCTCTTTCCAGCACTGCTGCTAATGGGCTGAGTGGTCCTGGGCAGACTGCCCTCGCCTTCGGGGCTGCCATTTCCTCCGGCACTCAGGGCACCTGCTCTGCGGCTCCCGGTCACCACACTGCAGCGGGGGAAGGAGGCGGCCCACATGCCTGCCAAGTTAATCATGTTGCGGTGGGGGGCAGGGTGGGGGGCAGGAAAATAAAAAATGCCAGGCCCTGTGGGTGCCACACATTCTGATTGTTTTTGAAGATTTTCCTTCAAATTCAGTCCCTCCACAATTACATCAGCAGCCCCAAGCCCAGCCCCATCTCTGGGGAATTCAGGCTGCATCTGGGAGGTGCTTGGAGGTCCCTGGCATTGTTACAAAAGGTGCTGCTTTCTGCTCTCACTTTGAGGAGACCTGGATGTAATAGCTGGGCAGGATTACTCTGTTTCAGAAGAACTTTTCAACTTATGAAAGTGCTCACCAGGGGATTTCTTTTCACAGCAGGACCCCAGTTGCACACCAAGTATCCATCAGGCCTGCACAGGGCCAGCTGGAGAGGCGGCGTTTTGGGAACTTACAACCCAGGTCCATGGGAGGAAGCCAGCTGCCCTCTGCCTACCCCGTATCTTGACAAACGACAGCCTCACAGTGTCTGAGGGGCTCGAATGACTGTGGCTTCCTGGAGAAAGCTTTCCACCAGGGGGACCGGTGCTGGGGTTGGGCGGCCTGCAGGCCTGAAGCAAAGCTTGACCCGGGCTGGGTCTTCAGAGTGGACTTCCCTAGCCCCCCAAAGCCCTAAGAGTTTGGCTGCCCCAGGTTTGTAGAGGAGGGGAAGGCCCAGAGACCCTCAGTCACCCCAGCCCCACCTGAGGCACCTTGGTGGGAGTGAAGCCTTGAGCTCAGGGTCTCCCTGGCTTTAGTGAGAGGCCCCAGCTGGGCCTGCTCTGCTGCGTTACCTTTTCCCTCCTTGGGGAACTGACCGTCGCCTCTGCCTGGGCCACCTGGAGGAAAGCGCGTATCTGTTCAGAGCGCGCTTTCTAGACTCCTCCCCATGCCAAGCCCCATCTCTTTCACCACCAAGAAACCTCTTCATCCATTCTTTTCTTGGCCCATCCCTCCCCCGCCACTTTCTCTCACCCCATCACTGAAGCAGCTCCGAGGATGCCTCCCTGCTTCCCTCCTGTCCCCTCCAAGCCACCTCCAAAAGCCACCTGGCCACCAGCCAGGCTTAAGGTGGATGCAGGAGCCAGCAAGACCCTCCAGGTGCCACCCCCACCTCAGTTCTTCCACTCCTGGGGACCCCTTCACTCCTCACCTAATCCGAAGCCTGTCGTAACCAAACAAGCCTCCCTCCGAGGCTTCACTCATCTCTGCGCCTCGGCCTGGGTCTTCCTCCTTTCTCCATCTGGCTAATTGCCATCAATCCTTCCATATGATTAAGGTGTTAGGTTGTCCTGGCCGCCTGCCTCTGTCTCCTCCTCTCACCTCCCCCACCCTCCACCTTCCTTGTCACGCCCCCATCGCCTCCAGGCTTGCTTCTTTAGAGCATTCTATGTGTTGTAAGTATTTGCATGTACGTCTCCTGCACTAGATTATGCTTTATTTCTTTTTTTAACTTCAACACTCAGCTCAGGGCCTGGCGAATATGCAGCTGGAGTGGCAGATTGCAAACACGAAGGGGTGGAGTGCATTTCCCCACCCCTTGAATCCTGACTGGCCCTGTGACATGCTTCGAACCTCAGAAGGTGGTTGAAAGGACATTGTATGAGTGTGAGCCACGGACTCAACATGTTTTGCTTAATTTTGTTCATTCTCTTAAGCCCTCTGCTGCCACCACCACATGGACAGGATTGAGCTAGTCTGTTGGAGAATGAGGGAGCAGGTGGAGCAGAAAAGAGCTGTCCCAGAGGAGCCATTTACACTTGCCAACTCCCACCAATGTCAGCTGAGTCTGACTCAAGTCAGCCGAACCCAGTCCAAATTGCAAACCAGTCAAAATCTAAATAAGCAGTTGTTATTTTAAACCACCGAGTCTCAGAACTGTTTGTTACACACCAAGAGCCAGCCGATAACAGAGGGCATGGATACACGATGGGTTCAAGTGTGCAGAGAACTTTGTATCACGTTTTCCTTTGCTGGTTCAGTTTGAAGTTAACTGTGATGTGTGCATATGTTTTTCAATTGTGGTAAAATTTACCACTTAAGCCACTTTTTAGGTGTATAGTTTAGTAAATAGTGTTAAGTACATTTACACGGTCATGCAATCTATTTCTAGAATAAGTTTCATCTTCCTATTCCCCTTCTCCATCAGCCCCTGGCACCACCTTTCTCTTCTGTCTCCATGAATTTGACTACTCGAGGCACTGCAAATAAATGGAATCAACCAGCACTGGTCTTTTTTGGTGCGTGACTTATTTCACTAGCATAGCATCCTCAAGGTTCATCCATGTAGCATGTTTAGGAAGTTCCTTCCTTTCTGAGGCTGAATACAGCTCCATCGTATGGACGTACCACGTGTTGTTAATCCATTTGTTCATCAAGGGACACTTGTACGGCTGCGGCATTTTGACTACTGTGAATAGTAAGTGCTGCTGTGAGGCCAATTCTTAGCACGCCCAGTTGTGGGTATCTCTAACTGCCCCGTCCCGAACCCCACGTTTAACGAGGAGGATAAACGGGCTCTTTGGACCCAGCGGCCAGTGGTATCAGAAGGAAAGAGGACGCTGGGGAGTGTCCTCCTGGTGCTGGCTGCTTTGGTCAGGGGACAGTGAGACCACGAACAGAACCAAGGCTGGAGATGAATTTGCAGGCAAACGTCTGCATATTTTTCACCAGATGACACAAGTGATTTGTCAGAGATG